GGTTTCAATTGGGGGAAAAATAACCCAATTTAGTCAATTCTGATCAATAAAATCAGGATTTAGGTCACTCTTTCATTGAAAATGCTTGCTGTATTCAGACGAATTTAATAAATGAATTAAAAGCAGATTAAAGTGCAGCCAAATCAGCTTCTGAGTAGAAGTCACTAAATAGATGTGGAAAAAGCTAAGAGCCTGGTTATTTAAAGACAAAAAAATTCTGTTTTTTTGCCAATTTTCTTTTTATTATAAGATTTTACTTTGTGATAAATTTGGCCTAATAATAAATAGAAAGTCTCCATCTACATCAAACACCTGTGCCGGGGGGACAATTAGTATAATTCTTGAACTGAAGTCAGGGGCCACACAAAATCAGTTCAGGGGCTACAAATGGCCCCCGGGCCACACTTTGGACACCCCTGTGTTAACACAACACGTGTGAAAGATTAGAGTTCATGACAGAACAAGAAGAACAAGGTAGAACTCGACGCCAAAGCATCGACTGCCCCAAGACTCGTCTGCACTTAAAGCACTGACTTTACCTGACCTTCAGCTCTGACCTTTGACTCCAAAATGTCTTCAGCGCTCCGTTGGGTCAAGAACAATTACCATGTTAATTTGGACTGAAATCAATAGCTTGGTTTAGGAGATAAAGCGCACACAAGACAGTGTGATGGATGGAAATCTGCACCCACTAACGCACAGAGAAAGCCAGCAGAACATCTCTTCTTTATGAGAGAGAGATCGAAGAGTGGCAGGACTGAAGTAGAGGTGTTTACCCATGATGCAAAGCACCATGTTTGGCAAAAACAAACTCCTCCCAGCTCTCAGCATGGTGGTGGAGGGCTAATGGTTTGGGCTCCTTACAGTCATTAACCATGGTTCCATCCAATTGTAATGCTAATTTTGTGCAAACTTTTAAATTGTCACAAAGAAAAAGAAAAAAGAAATGCGAATTAGATGTGTTTCCATCTACTCGTCTATAGTGACTCATACAGGCTACGCAAAGCATAATTTCGTCTGATGTTGACGTTACATGTGGCTGTAATGATCAGGAAGTAGAGGTTCACAGGGACCATATATCTCTGGACAGTGGAGAGAAGTTTTCAGTAATTTCTTGCTCTCAGGCAAGTTGTAATTGTTCGTCATATCAGCTACAACCTCTGGCAAAAAGTATGGAATCACCAGTCTTGGATGAGCACTCATTCAGACATTTCATTCTGTAAAACAAACTCAGATCAAAAACATGATACAATAATAAGGTCATTCCAAAGTGCAACTTGTTGGCTTTCAGGAACACTCAAAGAAATGAAGAGAAAACATTGTGGAAGTCAGTGAATGTTACTTTTATTGACCAAGCACAGGGAAAACAATAAGGAATCACTCAGTTCTGAAGAAAATATAGGATATAGGAAAATATTTTCAGATTTTCCAAGGTGCCAATTAGGGAACTCTCTGTGCATTGTTGCCCAAATCAAATTCTGGAAGTGGTCATTCAACTAGATCTGTTACAAAAGGACAACTGATATTACCAACTTTTAAAAACTGTTACGGCCAGAGGTCTTTCTTCTATGTTTATACTAAAGCATGGAATGACATTCCTCAAAACATGAAGTCCATTTCAAAACTACAGCCCTTTAAGAAGAATCTTGTCTGCCATCTGCTGGACACTTTTTGTTGTGCTCATATTTAGACGTCCTATTTTGCAAATGCTGCCTTCCTGAAATTTGGTACGCTTGTTTGTCTTTGTGTCTATGGTGTAATAATAATGATGTGATTGTGATGCTGTATTTCTGAGTGTTTTATGTGCTGCAGAACAGGAACCTGCTGTAAAACAGCAATTATGCTGAGTCAGGCTTGATTTTTAGTAATCTTTTCCTGTTAAATCAATAAATCAAATCAAAAAGGTATGGAATCACTCAAATTGGAGGTGGAAAATAAGGATACACCCAGTGTGTGTGAGTGATTCATACTTCTTTCCCCAGAATTGAGTGATTCCATATTTTTTTTCCCTGTGCTTGGTCAATAAAAGTAACATTCACTGACTTCCACAATGTTTTCTCTTCATTTCTTTGAGTGTTCCTGAAAGCCAACAAGTTGCACTTTGGAATGACCTTATTATTTTATCATGTTTTTGATCTGAGTTTGTTTTACAGAATGAAATGTCTGAATGAGTGCTCATCCAAGACTGGTGATTCTATACTTTTTGCCAGGGGTTGTAGTATGAGTGATGTTACATGCTGTCTGGAGACCAAGAGAAAAAAATGCAAATCTCTTCACGTTATGGGAATATCTGTGCAGACGCCAACAGAGGAAACAGCTGATCAGTCATGTGAGGTAAATGTTTGCTACATCGGAACTTATTCAACAAATGTGTTTCCATCTCCCCTTTTGTGCATTAACTCTGATTGTTTTTGGAAATCCAAAAAACACCTTAAGTTAGCGTAAAAGCTTTTTTTTTTGTGAAAATTTTCTTTTTCAAATTATGCCATTTCCTTTAACCGTTTTTAATGCGATACTTCAAAATATGTTGGTGAAAACACAGCTACTGAGTGGACCATCAAGTCCTCTGTAGACCAACGTTACTAGAGGCAAATGTGAGTCTTTCTGTCAGACAGCAGAAATTTGGACCAAACTGGGTCCAACAGAACAATGATCCCAAACATAGCAACTGATTTACAACAGGACAGGTCAAAAATAAAAGAATCAAAGTTTCTCCACAACCATGTGAGACTGATAGAGTCAAACCAAAAATAAAAGAATCAAAGTTTCTCCACAACCATGTGAGACTGATAGAGTCAAACCAAAACCCACTGAGAGACACTATAGGAGCTTCTACAAGGACATCCGTTCAAAAAATAATGACTCAGTGGAATCTCTTGTGTGTTTCTGTCCACCTGATGTTACAATGGAATCCTTTCAGTCCCTGGATCAGATTTATTGGGCCCTGATGCATAAAAGCCCAAACTCTGCTTATCCCATTCTGACTGATCTGGACCTGGTTCAACAGGTCGTCTCATCGGATCAATGTTTCGAGAGGTCCAACCCAGATTTCAGGTCATCATTTGTAAATGTTGGAATCCAATCAGAACTTATTCAGACACTGTAGCTCTCCACAGACATACTGGATAAAAACTGATTCACAGCTTCTCCCAGCATAAATAAACAAACAAACCTGGAAACGTCACAAATCTGTCTTTAAATTGTTTTCACAAGAACAATAAATTTGACAACCTTTTGAAAATAAATGGTTCTGACCTATTTTCTCTGCTAAATGAAACACAGATATTTAAAAACCATTTATAGAATAATCTGAAAAGGAGAGCAGTGCTGCCGTACGACACCAGCCCAGAAACCTTTGGTTTTTATTTCCACCTAATTCAACCATCAGGTAGAAAGATCCCCAAAAACAAACAGCTGATTGAAAAACATCCAGAAAAATAACAAGAGATCTGTCATTTAGAACCAGGTCAGTGAACGCACCGTAATTGAAGACGTGGGGCAGGTCAGTGAACGCGTCGTACCTCAACATGTGGAGCAGCTGCTCGAAACACTTCACTGAGACAAAACTTCCACCAACAATGTAAACAAAGTAAACTAAACACTCTTAAAATATCAGTTTTAAAACTTGGTGAAAGGCCTGTTAAAACCCAGACCAGTTTACCACAGGTTCCACAGGTTTTAAATCATTTATTACAAAATAACCTTTTTAAATTCATCACAAACTGACATTTTCAGACTTAAAAACTGGACTTTACTCTAGGATTTATTAAGCTTTTATAATTAGTTCTGTTAAAAAACAATAATAATAATCAAGCATTTAAACCTAAGTGATAATTTGATCAGAAACAGATCAACCTTGACTAAAGGGTATTTTTTAACTTTATTGTGAATCAAAACATACAGAATTAATATAGATATACTGTAATTCATTGTGAAATTAGCTTGTAAGTACTTCTTTGTTTTAGTTAAAAACATTAAAAAATGTACAATTAAACATGAAAATAATTCAATTTTATTATTTAAAATAATTACATTTAAATCTATATTTATCATTTTGTATTACTTGTGTTAAGATACATTTTTGTATTTTTTATATCTGACAGCTAATTGAATATTTAATTAAATCAAGTGCTGATTCTGTCAGATGATATTTTTGTTGATTGACAGATTATAAAATAAGATTTTCTTCATTTTTTCTTTTCTTTTAGATATTTTTTTAAACATTCCCTAAATCCAAACCATCAGTTTGGTTTTACTTTGATCATTTATTTAAGCTGAGATTGAACTGGCCTTCAAGTCACAAGGAAAAGAAGACTTTATAATCCTAGTTTCTTATTGAAAAAGAATAAACCCTGAATGAGGTGGTTTAACCTGCTGCCTCACGAGTTAAGACCTGCAGAACTGTTTCACCTTCCACTGCAGACACTTTACAGTCCCTGACACATATTTGTTCACAACTCTGATTTTAAATTTCAGCTTCAATAAACAAACTGAGCTAAAGGAGCAACTAAAAACCCTGTGTGGTGTAAAGAAATAAAGCCACCGTGGTTTGATTACTTTGGAAGATTCAGTCTTTGGAAACACATGAAAAAAAAACCCTGAAAACACGTGAGGAGGACACAACGCTCCAGTTTTTACCCTGTGCAGGTTTCAAAATGTCAGGTCACAAAAATGACAAATAAATAAATAAATAAATAAATAAATAAACGAAACCAAAAGTTTTGGTTTTATCCAAGAGGAGTGTTGAAATGTGCCTCCAAAATACAACAAAAGGTAAATGGAAATTTCATTCAAAGCTCTGGACAAAGTGCAGCTGATACATGAGAACCAAACACTGGGATCTTTGCTTTAGCCTGGAGAATTAATCTGTTTGTAAAGCCATGAACCCCACCGTGGATACACTGTTAGTCCTCTAACAGCTTTTATAAACATATAAACAACAACATCACTTCAGCAGTTTGTGTTTGTAAAGGTTTACCAGGTTCTGATTGTGTTGTGGTGAACTGATGTTCAATGGGAAACTTACCTAAAAACAAAAATCTGTCAAATCAGAGTGAAACTTATGTTAGTGGAGTGGATGACTCTGCTTTTAGTTTATGTTTCTTAATATTTATTTTCAGGGTTCACAGCTGACAGAAACAAACTCCTCGCCAAATTCCCAAAAAACTGTAATTCACCAGGAAGGAGCTTTTAAATTAATGTGAGCTGCTCTGAGTATGAAATCTACATTTACCTGTTTATAGATTCCCACCTTTATGAGATACTCGAAGGTTTAAAGTCAAAACTGTTGTGTTTTCAGGACAGATGAAGCTTCAGACCTGCTCCTTGGTTTATCTTGATTGTTTGACATGATGTCCTTGTTTTGCTTCCTTCTTTAACTATAGCCTCTCTGTCTAAATCCTAAACATTACTGTCTTTAACAAAGCGCCTCTGGTCCCTGAGATGAAGAGGAACAGCTGAGTCTTCCTCTCAGCTGAACTGAGAAAAACTTGTCTTAAAAACTGAACGTTTAGTGTGACCTGAATGACTCAGGCTCTACACCAGCATCCCTCTGGAACTCTACCCTTCTTCCTGTCCTGACATGATTTGTGCAATGACTACGATGTATAAGAAGATGGAGATGGAAGGTGAAGTCAACTTATTGCAGTTGGCTGAAGGTTTGTTAGTAATTGTGTAGTTTTGGTCACTACACACTAATACTTTGGTGCGAATGATAAAGCTGCCTTTACGCTCGTCCATTTGGTACCACTGAGTTTCATCATCAAGTCAGGTCAATGTTTCAAACTCTGTCCCCTAAACCACAATATTGCTAATCAGAGTGTCTTATTTTGTCAATAAAATATTAGTTTCCTACATTTTGAGCACCATGATTCTATTCCATTTACCTTCTTTGCACCAAAAAGAGGCACAAATCAAATGATCAACAAGTCAGAAAGACTCTGGGTCAACTAAAAGACACATAGACCAACCCATTCTTACCCACTAATGTTTTTGTCCCTTCAGTGAACGGAGTTCTTGGTGTTTTGTCGACGTGAAGAGGGGAACAAGCAGGAAGGGATGATGGAGGATCTCTGAAGTTTTAAATGTGCTGATCCTCCGTTTCCCTCGAGTACACACGTTTAGGACGCAAGCAATGTAAAGGAACAAGATCTAGTTTTTCTAGAGGTACTTGAGTTAAATGGTGCTTTCAGTGTGTGCGTGACTGACAGAGTGACCATGTGAGGGAGGCTGGCTGAGGCCAACACAGTTCTGCTGCTCATTGAGCAGAGTGGTGGTCTCCTCTGGACCATGCTCTGGACTTTCAGAGGGAAGGGACTGCTGGGATTTGGAGGACACGCAGGTCAGAGGAGGACCCACAGAGGAGGGAGACGTTTGGGACAGGGCCGAGGAGTGGCTGTTGAGAGACGGGTTGACTTGGGGCACAGACTGGCTCGGCCTGCGACCGGAGGAGGAGGTGCCGATGGTGAAGGTGGTGCGGCCGCTCGGTGGCGTCGGCTGAGCGTTGAACTGTGGGTGTCTCGCAGGAGGCGTGGCCAACGGCGGCAGGGTGTGTGTGCCCATTTGTGCAAAGGGAGGCAAAGAAACTGAAATGTCCAAGTGGGCGTGGCTGCCTTCTGGAGACTGTGGCGTGCTGTCGAGCCTCGACGCCAGGAGAGCGTTCTGGTAATGAGCACGAGTGACCTACACAAGACAGGAGAACAGGAAACGGACTGAAAACGTTTCTTTAGGGTTCCTCACATTTCAGAACAGCTTGTTCCAATATTTACAGTGGCTAAGAAAATGATTCAGCCTCAGTATTCTTCAAGTTTTATTACCTTAGAACATGAAATTTAATTAGATTTTTCATAAGGTTACAGAAATACTTCAAATCAATGACAATAAATTGTGTCCTCCTGATGCATCTCAGTAATCCAGGTAGTAAAAAAATAATAAGTAGGTCCTCTGGACGGATTCTTCTTTAATGAAATGTTTCGTCTCTCCTCCAAGAGACTTCCTCAGTCTTCTTCTGGTCCCTCAACACAAACAGAGTAATATTGTGTATGCTGTTAAGTGTCAGGAGGACTGTGATCAGTTATACAACAGTTAAACTTCGTTTAAACGTTGTTAAACGTTGTTAAACACTGTTCAAAAGAATGAGCCAACACAGAAGAGCTACATCATCAGGTCAGGACTCTACAGTTTACACTCATCTACAGGCCAGGATTCTGCAGTCTACACTCATCTACAGGGCAGGACTCTGCAGTTTACACTCATCTACAGGGCAGGACTCTGCAGTTTACACTCATCTACAGGGCAGGACTCTGCAGTTTACACTCATCTTCAGGGCAGGACTCTGCAGTTTACACTCATCT